TTCAGCCTCGAGAGTTCCACTCAGGTGACCTGGTCTTAAGAAAGATTCTCCCAATCCACACTGATCCAAGAGGCAAGTGGACTCCCAACTATTAGGGACCGTACATCGTGAAGAAGGCTTTCTCAGGAGGTGCTCTAATCCTGACAAACATGGATGGGGAAGACGTTCCGCTTCCAGTCAATTCAGACTCAGTCAAAAAATACTACGCATGAAAGGACCCGCTAAGTCGAAAACCCGAAAGGGTGGCTTAGGAAAAAGTTAGGGCTAAAGAAAAAAAAAGGATAATAACCCGCTAAGTCGAAAACCCGAAAGGGAGGCTTAGGCAAAATGGAAGTCCCGGTGGATTGAAAACCAGAAAGGGCGATCCAGGAAAAAATTAGGGACATAAAAGCGAGAGACTGCAGTCTGAAGACTCTTCACGTACACCCTCCTAATGCGGGATGGATCGATCTGACTATTATCCTTTGGAAGCACGGCACTAGGAAGACCTGGGATGTGAGAACTATAGCAATATCAGTTTGAACGGAAATTTGAGATTTTCTTATTGCCATTTTACTCGTTGTATTTCTTTTCTTTTTCGCAACGTCCTCGTTTAGGAGTTGTATCAATGTATGAGTGCCCATTCACGGGCCAAACTCATTAATAAAATTTTCCCTTCCATTAAAAATCTCTGTTATGTTCTTTTACTTTATTTTTCGTATGCGAGTTGTGATTTAATTTCTTTGTTAAGCATTGTATTGAAAACAATAAGTCAATAATAATCGCGAGCTAAGATGTGAAACACTACATTAAATAGATATGAAGTCATCCCAAGGGAATTTTGTGGCCTTCAAGTGTTCGTTCTCCTATGCAGGTAGCAAGTCATAACGGTAACCTTGACCAAGATTTCTTCCTCGTTGCCTCCTCACATCGACCGAGCGCCCGATTCTCCCACACGGAGAAACTTGGGGCATTAGTTGAGATCAACGTCTCTTTTCAGTTATTCACAAGAGTCCAACCCATGAAGGAAGTCAGATCAAGTCTTTTCTCCTCAGCAAGATTTATTCCTCAGTGAACTCGACAAGGCTAATTCTCTCTTCTCAAATTTTAAGCACCAGTCCAAATTGGTACCTCAAGATGACGAGCAATAGATTCCAATGAGTTGTTGACATTTTGCACACAATAATCATCACGACATACTGCATTGAATCCTCAAACGCATAGCATATCCATGAATCATCATGTTACACTTCAAATGTATGTAAAGCATGAGCCAGATCAATCCCAAACTAATTCCCAAATCAACAAAACATCCTCACAAAGAATATCATCCTCATAATTCCCAGTTAACATCTGCTATTACACCAACTAAAATAAACCAGGGTTTTAGTACGTCATGCTCCCCAACTCTCAATACTCACTTTATCTTTCCTAGGGTCTTAGGTCGTCCGTAGACTTCACCCTCTCGTCCTCTTAAGGTCGTAGATCGTCCGTAGATCTTACAGTCGCTTTATCTTTTTAAGGTCGTAGATCGTCCGTAGATCTTACATTCGCTTTATCTTTCCTAGGGTCGTAGATCGTCCGTAGACTTCACCCTATCATCCTCTTAAGTTCGTAGATCGTCCGTAGATCTTACCGTCACCTTATCTTTTTAAGGTCGTAGATCGTCTGTAGATCTTACCATAGTATCTTCCTAAGGTCGCAGGTCGTCCGTAGACTTTACCTTCTATTATTTACCTCTTTTAAAGGTCGTAGATTTTCCGTAGATCTTACCATCGCGTCATGTTTTTTTAAGATCGTAGGTCGTCTGTAGACTTTACCCTCTCATCCTTTTAAGGCCGTAGATCGTCCGTAGATCTTACCTCGTTTTATCTTTCCTAGGGTCGTAGGTCGTCCGTAGACTTCACCCTCTCATCCTCTTATGGTCGTAGATCGTCCGTAGATCTTACTGTCGCATTATCTTTTTAAGGTCGTAGATCCTCCGTAGATCTTACTGTAGTATCTTCCTAAGGTCGCAGGTCATCCGTAGACTTTACCTTCTTTTCTTTACCTCTTTTAAAGGTCGTAGATCGTCCGTAGATCTTACCATCGCATTATGTTTTTTTTAAGATTGTAGGTCGTCCGTAGACTTTGCCCTCTCATCATCTTTTTTCTAAGGTCGTAGATCATCCGTAGATCTTACCTTCACTTCATTTCCTAAGGTCGTAGGTCGCCCGTAGACTTTACCTTCTCCTCTTTACCTCTTTTAAGGTCGTAGATCGTCCGTAGATCTTACCGTAGCGTCATCCTCAGGTTTTAGATCGTCCGTAGATCTTACCATCGCGTTATGTTTTTAGGGTCATAGATCGTCCATAGATCTTGCCGTTGCGCCATATGCTTAGGGTCTTAAGTATTCCGCAGACTTTACCTTTGTGTTATCCTTAAGTTTCTTACCTCTAGTCACCGTGATATTGTCAACCATATCCTTTCAATCACTCTACCACTCACTCCCTAAAAAACCTTGTATTCATACCGTTATCCCAGTACAAGCTACCCTTTTCAACCATGTTTTATCCATCATGACCGGTCCACTAGAAGACCAGTTTGTCTTTCCCCAGGCGGACATTCACACCAGTGAATAGCACTCACACTATCTCTCCAGGGAAAATTTCGGGTCCTGGTATTTAATCATCTTCCACCTTGAACTCTCGAAAGGCTGATGCCAATCTCGCCTTCAGGTTTAAGACGATTAAATATGGGCAGTTGCCGTACCCCAAATTTTCCCTATCTCTTTTATTTTTGTCTGGTTTTTGAACTTTGCATTCCATTTGCATCATTTTACTATTAAATCATTTGCATATCCCGCATCTCAGGCAATCAGGCGCTTTGTTTTAAAGTTTTAGGGTTGCGCCCTCTTTATGTCTAATCTTGTTTTGAGGTTTTTGTATCAGGTAAAAAGGAAGCACATCTGGATCTTGATTAGCGGATCGTGGAATGAATTATGTGGTCAGGTTAAAGGGTTGGTTCTCGCTCAAACTCAATAGAGCCTGGATTAGGGTTTATTTCCCTATTATTTGTCAAGGGACTAGGGTTTTGGATCCATGGTTGTTGTGAAATCCCTCTTTCATCTATTTCAAAGACGTCTCAAGAACAAGATGTTAGGGTTACAACTTGTTGATGATAAGGTGAATTTGGGCCGTTGATTTACAGGGTTTCTATAATTATTTCAGGGGAGAGTCTTGTGGGCTAGGTTTCATCCTCGTGTTCTCAAATCATATTCATTTCAAGGAGTTTATGTGTGTGTTAATTTCATCAACTGGAAAAGGCATTGTCTCAGTAAAGAGTGTATTAAGTTTTCTTTCGAGACTTTATTGATTTAAGGCACTCTTTTGGTTCATGTCGCATTTTGTGATTAGGGGAAGATTTGTGCATCAAGGTGATTATTGTGGAGTTGAGATTGAAATATAGCGTGAAATGAAGAACAAATCTTGGTTCAAGATCTTAAGGATGATTCGTCAATGTTTGATCCTATATTAAGAAGTTTTCTTTGTGTGATTTCATGGTATACAAAGTAAAAATGAGAACGGAGTACATCATTGAGTTACAAATATCAAAGTCCATTGCCTTTGTTCTTTATTTTGTTTAAGATATTGAATAGTCAACATTTATTTCATGATCATCAAAAGACTCAAAGATTATCAAGACAAGTTCATCATTCATTTATTTCTACCATCTTTCATTCAAGATTCAAGTCTCATTCATGGATTCAATGTTTAAAAACTTGATTCACAATACAAAAAAAATTCATTCAATTTTAGCTCAATACAAAGAAATGTTTACATTCATTACAAAATCCAAATTCAATTACCATTACATACATATTGAAATTCATACAAAAAAATCAATACAAGTTCATCAATTTCATGAAGCCCAATATCCAAAATATAATACAGCTTCTAGCCAATTTCCGAAACCTTGTGCAAAATAGTCCAAACTTGCTTCAAGTTAAAAAAACCTGTCACAACCTGCTGCTACACACAGGCCTGTTTCATCTGCAAAAAAACCCAAAAAACATGTAAAGAAAAAGGGCAGCCCTGCAATAAACCAAGACCTGTCCCAAACAGGCTACTGCTACAAAAAAAACTCTGCTACTATGCTGGCAATTCTGCTACTATGCTGCCAATTCTGCTACTATGATGCCTTTCTTACTGCATATACTATCCCAAAACATACATCAAAATGGAAAGAAAAAAATTTGCATCATAACAGCAATAGAATAGTTAACTACAATAGTTCAAATGAACCAACTCTTCCCACCAGATTTTATCAGTTTTTCTCTATAAAAATGAAAACATGATTCAACAGAAAAAGGAGAATTGTTTAGAAAAAAACCTCACACAATAACCAGCAAGGAGATACCAAAAATTTATCCTAAAACCTTTTTGCACAGAGATCACCGACTTCAATATATCTTTGCTCAAAACCACTTCACATCAGGAATAACCAATAATTTCTCTCTTCAATGCCCTGCAAACACAACCATCTCATTCAGAAAATATTACAGAACCTCTATTATTTTCCTTCATTCAACTTGCTTCTTACACACTAGATGTTTGATTCGAAGAAGAGTAGAAGGCGGGAATTCACCTCATTATACACTCATAGAAGTTGTTGATGCAGAGTCGTCGAGGAAGCTTTCCACAGTAGCTCAGGTTCACAGCTTTCTTCCTTTAAACTGTTGCTGTAATTTTGTTTTCCTCACCATTTATCTTTCAAATGCTATTATGACATTGCTCTGGAAAAAAAAAGATAAAAATACTAAAACCCGTTACCAGTGGAACCTGTCAAAATACTAGAATCTGTAAAAAACACTTAACTTGTTAAAAAACCCTTAAGCATGTTAACAATCTTAAAACCGGAAAAACATAGAGCCTTAACCATCACCATCATTATCAAATTCAATTTTAAACCAAAACGAATCAAAACAACAACAACAACAACGAGTTAACACCGATTCAACTCACCCACTCACTCACTCAACCATGAGCCGATTACGAAGATACGAAATCATCGAAGAAGAACCATTATCCTTTCCCTTACCATTACCCTTCTGTCACTCATATTCCTCACATTTCTTCCTAACTGAAACCCTACCATTCCCTTCCTTTATAGAAAAATCTCTCGATCTAGGTCTTCTCCCGAGTCATTTCCCCGCGGATCTGGTGCACGTGGATTCTTTTATGCAGAAACAAGTTGAGAAGCAGCAGCAACTCGGTTTGCGGAGTTTGACTGACCGAGTCGCTGAGTTGGAGTCGTAATTTGAGCAGATCCTCGGTGGGAAGGAGGAAGAGAATGTTAAGGATAAGAGAGAGAGGGATTTAGAAACTGGTATAAGTTTTTGTTGTTCTTGTTCACTGAGAAGAGGTTATCGCGAGAGGAATGGAGATCGTGAGATAATTGGAACTTGAGGAACATTTTTTTTTGTATTAATAAATTTTGCTGTTAGTAAAATAATTAATATGTGTTTTGTTTTCCCCATAAACAGTACCACCGTCGCACCCTCTTTGTACCCTAGGGTTTACAAAACTTTTCCTCTCCCTTATCCAAACCGGGTCATCTCCCTTTTGGGCCTTTTGGCCCAATGGCCCAATTCAATCATCGTTTCTCCTTTTGTTGTAATTAAACCATTCTTATAACGAATAACACCATAGCTCAACTGGCTAAGCATCTAACTTTGAACCTTGGGGACCCGGGTTCAACCCCTGTTGGGGCCTTTTTCCAGATTTCTCCTTTTTTTTAGTATCTTTAGGCTTCATCTTTATGCTTTTTATCATATACTTCTATATATATATATATATATATATATATATATATATATATATATATATATATATATATATATATATATATATATATATATATATATATATATATATATATATATATATATATATATATATATATATATATATATATATATATATATATATATATATATATATATATATATATATATATATATATATATATAATAGTTATTGCATAAAAAATAAATAAAAAATACAAAAACATGTCTGTTTTAATTAAATTTTCATTTTATTATTTACTTAATTATTTTGTTTAATTTTATTTAAATTTAATTTGTTGTATTTAACTTAATAAAATCCCCAAAATAAGTTAAAATTAGGTTTCGATATTCATTTCGCGATAAGTTGTAAAAATATTATAGTACTATCTTTCTTAAATCAATAAATATTTAGGGTCTTAGTTTCTTTATTTGTTCATTCAAACCACGATGTCATACTCTCTTAGTTAGCTCCGTGAGGCGATTAAAACCCGTTCGATTGCCTTATGTCGAAATAGACTTTTAGTCATTTGCGCATAACAAACCATTAGGTTTCTAGTCTCCCTCTTAACCCTTTCCTTTTGTAATTAAAACTTAACATTCACAAATCAAAATCCAAAAACGCTCTTAATCATTACTTGAATTTATTTTAAAAACTCGCAAAAATGCACAACCAAGCAAAACTCCCCCAAGGGCATGTTATCTCCATTCTACCGCGATAACGGCCGTGCCTATTGCTAGAACGTGTGCGTTAATGTCGCCCACTAAAAAACACAAACAAATCAATCATTTTCTAGAGGAACTACGGTGTTCTGATTCCTTCATTGGATACGTAGGCAAAGGGTCGTGAAACCCTCACGAACGCAATAATCGAAAACTATCCATTTCCCTTTAGTAAGCCTAGTTGTAGATAAATACACCCTTTAAGACGAAAAACAAAATGGATCCCGTTGAGTACAACGGGTGTGAGGGGTGCTAATACCTTCCCCTCGCATAACCGACTCCCTTACCCTTTCTCTCGGTCGCAAGATTATCTTATCCATTCCCTTGTAGTTTTATCGATATTTCCCCTTCCTTCGGGATAAATAAAGTTCGGTGGCGGCTCTGTGTTTTCTGCCGGTAGCTTCAACAACTTATATACTACCCTTTTTAGGATGAATGCCTTGGTTAAAGAAGAAGTTGAGACCCGCTCTAGGTGAAACGCCATGATTTTGGGAAACTTATTATTGTCAATATATCTTTTTTCTACCTTCAGTGAACGTTGGTAGCTCATCGTCAGTGAACATCGGTGATATGATATTTTCTCTTACTACCTTCAGTATATGTTGGTAGTTCAACATCAGTGAACATTGGCGATTGTTATCCTTTTGCTACCTTCAGTGAATGTTGGTAATTCACCGTTAGTGAACTTCATTGCTATGATATTTTCTCTTACTACCTTCAGTAAACGTTGGTAGTTCACCATCAGTGAACGTTGGTGATTGTTATCTTTTGCTACCTTTAGTGAACGTTGGTAGTTCATCATCAGTGAACGTCGGTGCTATGATATTTTCTCTTACTACCTTTAGTAAACGTTGGTAGTTCACCATCAGTGAACGTTGGTGATTGTTATCTTTTTTCTACCTTCAGTGAATGTTGGTATTTCACCGTCAGTGAACGTCGGTTCTATGATATTTTCTCTTACTACCTTCAGTAAACGTTGGTATTTCACCATCAGTGAACGTTGGTGATTGTTATCTTTTTGCTACCTTCAGTGAACGTTGGTAGTTTATCGTCAGTGAACTTCAGTGATATGATATTTTCTCATACTACCTTCAGTAAACGTTGGTAGTTCACCATCAATGAACGTTGTTGATTGTTATCTTTTTGCTACCTTCAGTGAATGTTGGTAGTTCACCGTCAGTGAATGTCGGTGCTATGATATTTTCTCTTACTACCTTCAGTAAATGTTGGTAGTTCACCATCATCGAACGTTGGTGATTGTTATCTTTTTGCTAGATTCAGTGAATGTTGGTAGTTCATCATCAGTGAACATCGGTGCTACGATATTTTCTCTTACTACCTTCAGTAAACATTGGTAGTTCACTATCAGTGAACATTGGTGATTGTTATCTTTTTGCTGCCTTCAGTGAACGTTGGTAGTTCACCGTCAGTGAACGTCGGTGCTATGATATTTTCTCTTACTACCTTCAGTAAACGTTGGTAGTTCACCATTAGTGAACGTTGGTGATTGTTATCTTTTTGCTACCTTCAGTGAATGTTGGTATTTCATCGTCAGTGAACATCATTGATATGATATTTTCTCTTACTACCTTCAGTAAACGTTGGTAGTTCACCATCAGAGAACATTGGTGATTGTTATCTTTTTTCTTCCTTCAGTGAACGTTGGTAGTTCATCGTCAGTGAATTTCGGTGCTATGATATTTTCTTTCTACCTTCAATGAACGTTAGTAGTTCATCATGAGTGAGTGATGGTGTTATGTTCTTTTCTTTATACCTTCAGTGAATGTTGGTAGTTTCGGCTTCAGTGAAAGTTGGTGTATCCTTTGATCTTTTACCATCCTCTATGGGTTGGTATCTTTTTGATCTTCTACCTTTAACTATGAGTTGGTAGTTTATCATCATCTATGAATCAGTATCTTTTTGATCTTCTACCTTCAACAGTTGAGTTGGTAGTTCACAGTTAGTTGTCAATCACTTTTATCCTGTACTATCTCCTCTTTAGTTGAGCTGATGCTACTTTATCTCTTCTTCGGGTGTTACTCCAATAGAGTCAGGTCTTTTGATTCACCAGTGATTTATTTTCCTGGTCGGGTTTCTCTTTTTATCCTTATTTCCTTTGCTACATCCATGGTGGTGTCTTGCGTCCCTTTGAAGTTGTTCATATGCATTCATACTCATAAGCATTGCATGGCATCTTAGGGCCAAAAATATGGTTTGTTTTATATTTAAGTATCTTTGATCACGTCAACACGAATATTTTTAACCTTCGTATCTCCAGATAGAAGAAACTTAAATAAGGTAAACTGTTGTACCCTAATTTTTGCCCCTAATATTCCTCTATCATCTCATACCATCACAATGCAATCAGATCACAAATTAGGGTTTGGGGTTTATCTTCTATTGCATCTTGTCTTAGTATTTTCCTATGGAATCACTAAGAACCTTGAAGAGCCTTGAATTGTGTACTTTGTATATGTATGCTTTTAACTAACCTCAAAATGTGGGCATTTTGTCCTTTGGAATATCATCTTGTAAGTCATGGCACAACTTCATTCATCTCACCATCTCCTAGCACAGATGATCAAAACTAGGGTTTGAAGTTTAATCAGGAGATCTCTATATTTTTGGGAAATTATTGATGCCATACTTCTCTACATAGTCATGAGTATCTATAATTGGAAGCTTGATCATCAACATTGGCTTGAAGGGGTTTAATTGGTGAAAAGGGGTAAATGGTCATTTTCTCCGAAGACAGTAAAAATCAGTTGTTGACCAAGTGAACTTTTGGTCAACCATCAATTAAACATCCCTATTCTCATAATTCATGGTCAATAGTGCAAAAATATCAAGAGGAAGTGTGAATTGGAATTAACTTGTCAAGGAATTATTTGAACTTTTGAAATTTTTCTAAGTATCCATAGGGCTGAATTTTGACTGGCTATAACTTTCTCAATTTTTATTGAAAATGTACAAACTTTATATGCCTAGAAAGAGGATGAAAAATTACACAACTTTGTAAGAGTGGCCACAAGTCCAAAAAATGAAAATAAAAAAATTTATGAAGCTTGGAAGATTTTTGACACTTAGAGAAATTTTGGTTAAAAATGCAAAAAATTGACTTCTTCATGTCCATTTTTTAATGACCATTTGGACTCAAATCAAAAAGTTTGCAACATGAAAGTTGTATAGTGAATTTTTCTATTCATTTTTCATTCAAGAATCATCTCAAATGGTTAAGTGTAGAGAAATATATGGTGATTAGGATTTTGAATTGAAAACTGAAACTTTGCCCAGCACAAGGCAAGTCGCGCGTGCTAGGCGGTCATTTCATCGAACATGTTGTGGATGCGCATTCATCAATACTTTTCTATGTGAAATATTCATTATTTTTAAAATTTTCCAACATCAAAGTTGAAGTCCTAAATGTGAGGAACAATTTTGCTTCAGAACGTTTTTCCAAATTCTCCATAAATTTTGAGATATAATTGAAAGAAGAAGGAATCATGCAAGCTGAAATGTTTTGCACAACCTGGGCTCACGTGCGCGCAGAATGCCCAGTCAGGCCTTGCATTTTATCAAGCAGTTTGTGAGCAAACATTCATAGCCAAATATCTCATTGATCCAAGCTTCATTTTGAAAATTTTTGAACATCAAAGATGGAGTATGAAATGTCCTTTCCATTTTTGATTTAAACTTTGTGACATTTCATGCACCATGGAGAAAGATATAAATAGTTAAAGATGTGATCAT